CAACCACCCCCAGGACAGGCTTCCTTTATGCAAAGGCAGGCTGTTCAGGGAGCCAGGGAAGGGGTGAGTTGGAATGAGTTCCAGGGGTCATAGCAGCCTGGCCTTTCCTTCAGCCTCATACCGGGCCCCTCATCCCCTGCCACTCCCCTCTCAGCTGGGATCCTGCCTGAAAGAGACCATCCCCAAGTGATCCAGGGCATTCTACCAAAGGGAGGGGAATGCTTCCAACAGTCCCCTTTGGGTAGAAGAATAAAAAGATTGACAGGCCCTTCCTTTGTGTCAGATAACTTGCTGTTCCATACAACTCAACAAATCCTCACTGTAACCCTACGTGACAGCTACTGTCACTGGGTTCAATCAGTTTAACCATAACCATTCTTCACCCAGTAACCAGAAAGATCTTTATACAACATAAACAAGTAGATCATAACCAATCCCTTGAAACTTAATGGCTTTCTACTACTTGCTACAGGTCCCACCTGTCTCCGTATCTCACTCCCCCCCTCGCCTTTGCTCTCTCTGGCCAGCTCCACAGCTTTTTCTCTTTCTCGCACTCCCTTCCTAGAGGGAATGGGAATGGTCGATGGGGCTCACACGTGTGTTATCTTGTGTACGTTATCTCGTAAGGATCAGGAACAGCTGGAAGGCTCAGCGAAGATCTTACATTAAAGGCAGCATGGGGCCGGCGCCGTGGCTCACTTGGCTAATCCTCCACCTGTGTTGCCGGCATCCCATATAGGCACTGGGTTCTAGTCCTGGCTGTTCCTCTTTCAGTCCTGCTCTGCTGTGGCCCGGGAGGGCAGTGGAGGATGGCCCAAGTGCTTGGGCGCCTGCACCCGCATGGGATACCAGGAGGAAGCACCTGGCTCCTGCCTTCGGATAGGCGTAGCTCCGGCTGTAGTGGCCATTTTGGAAGTGAACCAACGGAAGGAAGACCTTTTTCTCTCCCTCTCTCACTGTCTAACTCTAGCTGTCAAAAAAAAAAAAAACTATAAAATGTTAAAAAAAAAAAAAAAAAAAGGCAGCGTGTTGGGAGGTGGGGCAGGGCTTCCTGGCAACTGAGCGTTATTTGGGGAGGGGGCTCAGACTACAGCAAGAAGAGCAGTTTCTGCTCTTGGACCCTTGATTGAACCTCAACACTCCTGATACTCAATAATCAAGGTAATATATTCTTATCAGTGAAGGTGGCTCCTTACAACCAGGACTAGGCGATCTGAGGACAGGAAGCTGAGACCCAAATGGGATGGAAAACAACACAAAACAAAAACCCCAAGCCAAACTGCTCTCATATTCACAGAATTTTGTACAGCAAAACATTGGCTCCCACTAATTTAGTGCTCAAGCCTGATGTCTTATGGACACAAGGGTAAGCAAGTAATTGAACCCAACCTCCTCATATCAGAAGTAAAGAGCTCAAGTCCAGAGAGGCTGAGCACCATGGCAGAAGTCACACAGCTAGGTAACAACTTATAGACAACCCACGCCTGTCTTTGCAATTTCAAATAGTCCCTGGGATAACTGACAAGGTATGGTGACTGCAGCGAACAGTGCTGGGGACAAGAGGCATCTGAACTCCCGTGCCCTGCTCCAGGCTTCGAATCCAACCATCACGTCAGAGGCTTCGTCTGCTTCCTACACCCTCCCGGCGGCACAGTTAGTCACTCTTGGACAAAGTGAACTGCCCAGGAGCCTGTTAGAATTCCAGTGGCCGGGATCTGAGCTGCTGTCACGGAAGTCTCACTGTAGTGTGACTGCAGGTTCCAGGTACTTTCAACTGACAAAGGGCCGCAGCTGGGAAAGGTGGCTCAGTGGGAAACCCACTGATACAAAGTTCCTCCCAGCCCGGTGCACACAGCTCTTCCCAAGTCCACCCGCAGTGACGTCTGTCACACTGGGAGTATTTACAACATGGAAGATGGCAAACACTATAAATTAGTGCCTTCTTGGTGTGTGTGTGTGTGTGTGTGTGTGTGTTCTGAGAGCCAATCTAGTTATTAAAGATCCACCAAAGTATCCCTGGCCATAGGTGGCCAGATTAGTGTGTCCGATAGTCTGGTCCCCAGAGAACAAGAAACAGATGTGGTGCTGCTGCTTCGTTGTGGAACAAACAGCACTGCTTCCTGCACAAGTATTTGCTGCTCTCTGCAAAGACTACATCCTCCATGGTGCTGCAAATTTTCAATTTCTGATTTGCAGAGTAAAATAAATCACAGTCAGCATGGGCAGTGAATCTCATCACCTTGCGCATCTTTAGCTATAAATTAACCCTCTCTCTTTTCTGGCACTTTTTTGGATACACACCCATTCCCACATGTCACCAACATTTCTGACTTCTGACTTGGCAAGAAGACCCTCCTCACCTTACACTGCCCTTCCCTACGGAGACAAGCTTTCCAAATGAGCCAGCACCCTCCAGCTTCCCTTCCCACATCACCCAAACGACAGATGACAGAGGAACCGAATCAACTGGCACCTCGGGCTTTACTTTGATCCATGACACCACTGCCTCTGTGACATTCGTGGCACAGTGCTCTGTAACGGTTCCCCGTCTACTTCTTGGTCTGCTTCTTCCCCCATATATAACCAGGTGCCTTCTCCTACCCCTAAATATTTCATGTAAATACATAGAAGACCCACATAACTGCCAGTTGTAGATACTTCTGAAGGGTCAAGTGGTACAAGGATTGAAGGATGATACTTATCTTCTGTTCTGTAAAACCTGTAAGTCATTTGAGTGTCCCATAAGAGAGGTACTCACATATGACTTATATAATTCTTAGAAAATGAAGTGACCGGGACCAGCACTGTGGCATAGCAGGTAAAGCCACCGTCTGCAGAGCCAGCATCCCATATAGGCACCGGTTCAAGTCCCAGCTGCTCCAATTCCGAGCCAGCTCTCTGCTAACATGCTTGCGAAAAGCACTAGAAGATGGCCCACATTCTTGGGCCCTACACTCACATGGGAGACCCAGATGAAGGGCCTCGCACAGCCCCGGCTGTTGCAGCCATTTGGTGAGTAAACCAGTAGATGGAAGATACCTCTCTCTCTCTGCTTCTCCTTCCCTATAACTGAGTTTCAAATAAATAATCTTTTTTTAAGATTTATTTTATTTATTTGAAAGAGTTACGGAGGTAGAGACAGAGAAAGGTCTTCTGTCCACTGCTTCACTCCTCAGATGGCCGCAATGGCTGGAGTTGAGCCAATCTGAAGTCAGGAGCCAGGAGCTTCTTCCAGGTCTCCCACATGGGTGCAAGGGCCCAAGGACTTGGGTTGTCCTCTGCTGCTTTCCCAGGTGCATTTAGCAGGGAGCTGGATCAGAAGTGGAGCAGCCAGGACTCAAACTGGCATACATATGGCATGCCAGCACTGAAGGCAGGGCTTTACCCCACTGCACCACAGCGCTGGCCACATAAGTAAATCTTTAAGTAAAAGAAAATGAAGCACTCCCCAAAGTCTTTGCTATATAAAACAACTCCCGTGATGGGCTGTCAACCTTGGCCTGCCGTCTGCATGCTGACACCTCCAATTTCATTCCAGCCTATGCAACTCTCATGAGCTCCAGATCGCAGCAGCCTGTAACTGACATCCACCTGAATCTTCTGCACACAAGTCACCTCACCAGTACTCCTTGCCCCTCGAGGGCACATCAAATGTCTGAGACACCCTAGATTCCTCCTGAAACCCTACACTCTGTCATATTGATTCCATCTTCAAATTGCCCCAAATTTAGTCAGTCCTTTTGACCCCCAAAGCTACTTCTTTAACTCAGGCCCTCATTTGCCACCTGAGTTAGGACAAAAATCTAAAAACCTAAAATTGGTCTCCCTGGGGTGTAATCTTCCTTCCCCTCCAATTTGTCCCCCAACGTACAGCCAGAAAAATCTTACTAAAATACGAATTGAAATATCATCACCCTTCCAACTCAGCCCTCACCCTAAGTCCCTAATTGTCACTTTAAAATCTACAACAGCTTACCCCAGCATCTGAGATACAATTCTAATGGGATTCAAAGCTGTTTCCTTCCATCAGCTCCCACATTCCAGCCACATTAAATGAACTGAAGGTTCCAGAATGCATCCCATTTCACTGTCCAAGGTCACCTTTGCTAACTAAGCTGCTTCCTTGGAAGGGCTCCTACTTCCTAAGGGCTGGGCATGGATGACCTTTCTGTTTCCCATGACATCTCCCTAATCCTGCCACTTCCATGATTATGGTTGTCTATGTAACAGTCACCTTGTCAGTCTGCTACAAGATTCTAAATGTAAAATGTCTCATTTGTGTACCTACACAGTGTGACCCTCAAGGAGACTGAGTAAATCCTCCACAACCTATCTCAGAAGCAACCTCTCAAATATGGTTCTCCCTAGCCCTTCGTGTCTGGTCGTGTCTGTTGTAACTGACATGCTAAGCAAATGTCCAGCTTCTGTGTTCAATGAGGAGATACCTTGTGAAACACCAACACCAACGAGGCCTCAGGCTGGACATTACATACAGAATCCCACCTGAAGAAGCCCACCATTCAGCCTGACCTTTGACACCTTGACACCTTATGTGACAAGACCAAGTCCTGAACTGCTGGTCACAGGTCTTGGAAGCATCTGACAGCAAGAATCCTGGAAAGATGACTGCTGGAGCTTCTAACAGGAGGAGGAGCCTTTTCAGGCCTTCGCTTGATGCCCAGGAATTAACTGGCACTCAAGGTGGGCGCACTCAACCCAACAGGGAAGCAAAATGGTCCAAGACTTAAATTCTAACCAGATGCAGTTTTATTAATGCTAATCATAAACATTCGATATTTTAGAAAACAGCTCTTTAAAAACAATAACATGGAGCATTTTCATATAGTCAGTGTGGCAAGGATTACCACCAAAATTCTTGTTGTTCCAGCTTGTGTCTTCAATGTTTATGCTTCGTAATTGCCATATTGTGAAAAAGGGAAGCCAAACAGCTCCATTTCGCCCTAATTCCAGGAGAGTCTAAGACAAAGGAGAAACAATGATTGAAACAAAGTGTTTTATTGAAGGAGATAAGTTACTCAAATATTAACTGGCTGCAGACAAAGGAAAGAAACATGGTGGAAGCTGGGTTTGTCAAGAGAAGAGAGATGGTACTGGAGACTCTGCCCGACAGATATTCAGAATCCAGGTTTTCGTGTTTCTCCATGATTCCATTTCCACAGGGCACTTTCCAGTCAGAGGATTCTTGAGACCAAATGAGACAGGACTGTTTTGGCTCTCAAACCAGAGTCTCAAGCCTTCTCTCTGCCAAGGCATTCAGTGAAAACATGATTTATTTTTCAGATTCCTCTGGAGCATTAGAAAGTCTCTTTCTCATTGCATTGCCATGCTCCCTGCTCTTCATCCTCTTCTGCATATACTGGAAGGAAGAGGGGGAGAGAAAAGTCAGCAGATTACATCACCATTACATCAGTTAAGTTAAATAATAAATGTTTTCGTGGACAAAATTCTTGTCTTTTATTTCACTGAACCTAAGATAGCCAACAGTGACCTTAGAGGACAGATACCTAGTACCACTTCATTCAGCATAATACAGCATCTACATCCTCATAGGCAGATAAACATTTGTCAAATCAATTTCCTCCCAAAACAAGAATTCAATCACTGTCTAAAATGGATGAGCTGCCCCCCAGCCTCTGCTGAGCACTTCTAGTGACAAGGGCCCACTACCATGACAGATCGCCTGTTCTTGTTCCAACATTTACATTGAATCAGAAAGTATTTCCCTGTAAATCTCCTATTGTCTTCTACAAGTGTGTCTTCTTGCCTGCTAGGATCTTAAACTACCTTACTACAGAGAACCCACTCACTCTCTGCTTTTCAGGCTGAACACTGATGGTTTCTATGAGTGTTCCACAGAGCACAGCTTTTGTCTTCTGACAGTTTATCTATAAAAAGACTTTTATTTTAGAAAGCACTTTGATGTTCCGTATAAAAAATCCCAAACAGCATCAAACATAGTGCTCTAAATGTAGTCTAACAGACATGGATTACAGTGGGCTAGTCCTCACGACCTGGTCACATCATATTTCTGTATTTATGAGAGTCAAAGGCTCTTAGCAACCACATAATCCTCAGCTCCTATGGAAATTTACAGTCAGCTGAACCAAGACTGTTTCACCAAGAACAGACCTCACACCTGGTTCTGCCTCAACTCTTAGGTTTCTATATCCACTGGCTCTAAGTGCAGGTTAGCACAGAGTCTAGCACTTAAAAAAAGCACTCAGATTCCCTCAAAGTGTTACTAATCTATGTCTGAAGCAGAGAAATTTGAATGTGTTTATACATGCACATATTTATATGCTGACAGTATGCACACCAATACAGATTTTAAGGCGGATAAGTTTTCCCCTGGATAGAGAAGGAAAAGATGAAAAGTAAATTCTAACAGAGGGGCAAGCATTGTGGTGTAGTGGGTAAAGCCGCTGCCTACAAAACCGGCATCGCATCTGGGCACCAGTTTGAGTTCTGGCTGCTCCACTTCCAATTCAGCTCCCTGCTGATGTGCCTAGGAAAGCAGCAGAGGATGGCCCAAGTTCTTGGATCCCTGCACCCATGTAGGAGACCTGGAAAAAGCTCCTGGCTCCTGGCTTCAGCCTTAGCTGGCCAGCCCTAGCCTTTGTGGCCATTTGGGGACTGAGCCAGCAAATGGAAGATCTCTCTGTCTCTGTAACTATGCCTTTCAAGTTAATAAATAAATAAATCTTTTTTAAAAAAATTCAACTAGAAGAAGCCAAGAGTATGTGAACATTTGACCATCTTTTAGGAGCTGGAGAAACAAAAGTCACAGAGAAGAAAGATTAGTGGCAGGAACTTAACTGGAACGTCTTCCCCTACCCCTGAGGCTGAACTGTGTGGAGATTCGAGACTGAGTTTTCTTTACTCTCCTGGGTCAGTAACTTCATATAACGAATCGGGCTGGTTAATCTTTAAGAAGTTTTTCTAGGTCAAAAGTTGAGGATGCTACAAATCTTTAAGAATGATAGTTTTCAAACTTTTTTTTTTCTCTCATATCAAAAAGCTACTTTCAATTACAGATGAGTCATCATGTCCCTTCAACTCAAATCATTCTTAGTATCTGTCATACATTAAATTTCCTCCTAAGAGTGTTGGCACGAATAGACCCAAAACACTACCCTAGAACACGGAGAGACACATGAGACCATCAGGGCTCTATCTTTAATCACTTATCCTGGATGGCCCCCGGCAATCAGGCTGGGAGGAGGATCATAAAGGTAGGTTTTCTGAAGATAATACTTTACAGCAGGCCAACAAAATATATGTGAAGCCATCTCCAAAGGAATTCACGAAGGTCCCGGAATTTTAAAAGAAAAAAAAAGGCTGAACATAAAGTTACTGACAAAACGCCACCCAACAATACAGATGGAATGGAAAGTCAACTAACCAAAAAACAAACCAACTAAGAGGACAAAAACAAGGATGCTGCAGAAGTAATACTAATGATTATTTCAATATGAAGAAAAAAAGAAGGTATATGGCTCACAGAGAGGCTTGGAAAAAAGTGGCCAAACCCTCATGGAATGAAGGATTCTGATGAGAAAGGAAGGAGGGAGCAGAAGGAAAATTTCTGAATCAAGTATTTAGGAGTGGAAGGGAAATAAATGAGCACAGGCTCAGAGGATTAGAGTGAAAGAACAGAAAGAAAAACATTCATGGAGGCTGGCGCCGTGGTACAGTAGGTTAATCCCCTGCCTGCAGAGCCAGCATCCCATAAGGGCACTGGTTCAAGTCCCAGCTGCTCCTCTTCCAATCCAGCTCTCTGCTATGGCCTGGGAAAGCAGTAGAAGATGCCCCAAGTCCTTGGGCCCCTGCACCCATGTGGAGACCTGGAAGAAGCTCCTGGCTTCTGGCTTCAGTTCAGCTCAGCTCCGGCCATTGTGGCCATTTAGGGAGTGAACCAGTGGATGGAAAACGTTTCCCTCTGTCTCTCCCTCTCACTGTCTGTAAATCTACCTCTCAAATAATAGAAAAGAAAAGAAAAATTTATGAAAGAGATAATGAAGCAATAAAAAAACTACAAAGAGGACCTAGAAAATAAGTCATGGAGAAAACAAGCAAATCTGTATGAAAACAAAAACAAACTCAGACAAAATTAAAATATCTACAACATTGTACCAAATAGTCACTAACGGAGCTCGGGACCAGCTAGAGAGAAAATCTCCTACGAAGATCTAATCACCAAAGCAATAGCAAAATTACTGAACTATATGAGGGAAAAAATGTCAATATAGGAGAAAAGCTATCTTATACAACCAAAAGCATGTGGCAAACCAATAAACAAACAGCTATATCAAATAAAACAGTATGGGTTTTATTTTGTCATAAGCTTACTTTCCTTACTAACAGGAACACGGCCCTGGGTTTAGTTTCTAGTCTTCATATGTGAAGAAAAACTGTTTCCAAAAATCATACTAATGCAGGCACACATTTCACAGAACTCCAGAGTCCTTCAAACAGTAAAGATAAGCATCACACTGGAAAGGGATTTCAGGGAGAAAAAGAAAGCCTCACAGTGGAAAACACACAAAATATAGGAAGATTTTGGACAACATCAAATTCCATACTTAAGCCTTTCAATCCAAGACTAACAAAAAAAAAAAATCCAAAATGCAGAAGAAGAAAAATGGAATTCAGCCTTTTAGACATGATATATTCTAAGTGTTTTTCTCTCTTCTTGGTCTTCACATATTTTTAAAAGGCTCTGGACACAGAATAAACTGATGCAAAGAAAGAGAAATGAAATTACATTTCCTTTCAAAAGTTTAATATGCATTCTGCTTGGTTAGCAGTACCTGGAAAAAAAGAACCAGGCACCTGGCCATTTGCCTGAGTCTAAGCCATAGCCTACAGCCATATTCAGGAGCTGACAGTCTTCCCAAACAAATCAAACTAAATCCCTACCAAGTGCACACAGCAAATTTAAACTATTAAACCACAACCACATTTACACCATGAAAGCTGGGAAGAGCCTAAGTCTAGCCTCCCTATTTTATATAAGGAAACTGAGGCCCAGAGAGATTGTCACCTGCTAATGAGCTAGCAACTCATTCACATACATCTGCTGACCAGAGATTCAATTTTCCAAAGCTTAAAGTTCATCAGGATGAGTTACCATGACTATAACAAGGAAGTTTTCATCATTTGAGTACACAGCAAAAGAACAGTGATGTTCTCAAACTGTCCCCAGAAAAAGCTTTAATTCCTCTTGGTTTTAGAGGGAGATTAGATGGAGATGAAGATAGAGGTAGAGACAGATGAGAGGGGAGGTGTCAATTCTCTGTTATACTAAAATTGTGGGAGAGTAGATTTTTAATAATGGCAACAATATATGTAACATTCAAAAATGTTTTGTTCAGCTATTTCCATCCTTCAACATTTTTCTTACCTCATTCTTCAAACATTTTCTCATTTCCCGATCAAGATCGTTGCAATGACCAAAAAATTTCAGAATGTTGTGCTAGAAGGAAGAAAAAGGGTAAAATATTTCATCCCAAAATATGCCAACACCCCTGGCACACAGAATTTAAGTACCTATTCCTATGAGAATGAGTTCACTGTGGCACTTTGTTAGTAAGCAAATAACAGTTAAATCATAACATAAAAATAAAATCAAAACATAAAAATAAACAGCCTTATTCTGGTCCTTCCTAAAACTGAGGATTAAATGCTCTATAGGTAGAAACAGAAATCAACACCTTTTCCTGGATAAAAAGAGAGGCTTACTAAACCACTAACATGTCACAGAGACACAGCAGAAAGAAGCATGTTAAAAGCTATTATGGCTAGTTGTAGCAATCTGCAACGTGGCCCCATATCACTAGCAAAAACTTGATCCTATAAACAAGGTTGTTTAATAAGATGCTTGGTACCACAGTTGTTTTCTCATTTGCGCCCAAAGCATCAGCAGACACACAGCGCTACCAACAGACGGCCTGTCCAGACCACAGATGTAAGCCACTAGCTCACAATACAGAAAATCTGTTTCCTTAGTTGAAGTCAGCTTTGTTGAAAAAACAAAACTAAGTCTCCCAGCGATTCCAAGTGCAATGACTATCTTACCATCACAGCAAAAAGAATGAGTGCTCTAAAGCAGGTTAAGATGAAGCCAGAAGCTAGAACCTGAATTTTAGTGGGAACATAATTAGTGCATGTGCCCTTCATGATTTTTAAGGGCAAGCAGGAGAGCATGGTGATCTGCTATAATGACATGCCACAAATGCTGAAGTCATAGTTCTAATAGATATACTTTTTCCTTTCCTTCCTAATTATGGCTTTCATGGAAACCACAAAACACATAACCAGTAACCTATGCCTCGTGCTATTTCTTTTTTTTGCACTTTACTGCTACCTTAGAAAAGCATTTTTCAGGCTCACATTAAATAAATGGTTAGTCTTCCTGACATGCATTTAAGATAAAGATCTCCTATTTCTTACCTAATGGCCTTTTCAAGTATAAATGTTTCTTATGTATTTTTCCTAAACTACTTCTTTTAAAACAGAGACAATGCAATGTTGACTCCTCCTAGTTGAGCAGAGAGAACAGAAGAATTAGATTTTTAGGATGCAGGACAGGATCTCACAGTTTACTGTTATCCATATAATCCCACACCCATATATCTAAACTAAATATTTCCTTTATCCTCAACATTAATGAATCTCAAATGAGAATTACACTTTTGTGGGGCCAGCACTGTGGTGTAGTAGGTTAAGCATCCACCTGTGCTGCTGGCATCCCATATGGGCGCCGGTTTGAGTCCTGGCTGTTCCACTTTTGATCCAGCTCCCTGCTGATGGCCTGGGAAAGAAGCAGTAGATGGTGCTTGGGCCCCTGCACTGACATGGGAGACACAGAGTAAGATCCTGGCTCCTGGCTCTGGACTGGCTCAGCTCCAGCTGTTGTGTCCACTTGGAGAGTGAACCAGTGGATGAAGACTTCTCTGTCTCTGCCTCTCCCTTTCTCTCTCTGTAACTATGCCTCTTAGGTAAATAAATAAATCTTTAAAAAAGAATTATGGCCAACGCCGCGGCTCAATAGGCTAATCCTCTGCCTAGCAGCGCTGGCACACCAGGTTCTAGTCCTGGTCGGGGCGCCAGATTCTGTCCCGGTTGCCCCTCTTCCAGGCCAGCTCTCTGCTGTGGCCAGGGAGTGCAGTGGAGGATGGCCCAAGTGCTTGGGCCCTGCACCCCATGGGAGACCAGGATAAGTACCTGGCTCCTGCCATCGGATCAGTGCGGTGCACAGGCCGCAGCGTGCCAGCCATGGCGGCCATTGGAGGGTGAACCAACGGCAAAAGGAAGACCTTTCTCTCTCTCTCTCTCACTGTCCACTCTGCCTGTAAAAAAAAAAAAAAAAAAAAAATTATGCATTTGTGCCATTATGTAAAATATGTTTAACCCAAAGTGCCCCAGTGAAACAAACTGATACAAGAAATGCCTGTGGGTTGAAATTCTCTTATGCACACTAGGCAGAAGTTTCCACCGCCTGCTGCCCAGGGAACGAAACCAGCTGAGCATCTGATCACTGGATACCAGTGAGCCCTTCCCTTGGAGAACACTGTCCCAGCTGCTAGGAACGCAACGTGAGCAAGGTGGACCTGGGCCTTACTCTCACGGCACAGTCGGGGGAAACACTAGTGAAGGCACTGCCATAAAGCAGTGGTGTAGATCAGGACCCTTACAGGTTCCTAAGACCTTTTCAGGGGATGCGCACAGTGAAAACTACTTTCCCACTAAGTCAAAGGCCTCATTCGTTGAGTTTAATTTCTTCTCGGATGAGTCCAGTAGACTTTTCCAGAGGCTACCTGAAGCATAATATCACAACTGACTGAAAGGAGAGGCAGCTATGAGATCACAGCTGTCTTCTATTTATTTGGACATAAGAGACAACTGCCAAGATGCAAAAGCTAGGCCATTCTTTTCACTGTTTTTCCATTTTGAGAAATAAAATAATTATGAAAAATGTCAACATTAATTAAAATAGATTCACTTTTAAAATTGCTCAGCTTTCATTTATAATTCACCCAGTATTAGTAGGTATCACCAACATAAACAAAAGCTCTTTGGGGTCCTTAACAATGCTTAAGAGAGTAAAGGAATCCCAAGACCAAGAAGAGTGAGAATACCTGCCATGCAGTAGGAAATGTATCAGACATGGCGCTGTGAAAGACGGAGCGACTGTGCCAAAAGAAGCCACGCCAGGAAAGAGGGATGAAATGGCCAATCAGGCTGAGGAAAACCTCAGGAAAAGGTACAGCCTGGTTTAGCAAATCTAAGTGGAAACAGTGAGAAATGTTCTAGGTTCTGCAAAGGAAAAAGCAAGTACAGAGAGGAGAAACAATGTCCCCAGGGTGGCTGTAGGAAAGCACACAGGAATAACAGGGAGGGAGTAGTGGGAGAGTGGTGAAGCCTAAGGAGCTCTGATGGGACCAGTTTTGTTAAGACTTTGAAACACAAAGCAAGGAATTTAAATTTCTGTCTGGGGTGGGGGTTGTACGCAGCATGTTAAGCCACCATTTGGAATACCCACGTCCCTTACAGGAGTGCCTGGGATGCAGTCCAGCCTCTACTTCCAATCCAGCTTCCTGCTCACACATCTGGGAGGCAGTAGATAAAGGTCCAAGTACTTGGGTTCCTGCCACATTGGTAGGAGACCTAGATGGAGTTTCTGACTCCTGCTTTCAGCCTGCCCCAGTTCAGCTGTTGCAGTGGCTCAGGAAGTGAACCAGTGGACAGAAGATATATCTCTTTGTCACTCTGCCTTTCAAATAAGTCTAGATTTTTTTTTCTCTATAGGCCCAAGAAGGCCATTTAAGAGGAGCAATGATTGATTAAACTTACTTTTCAAAGATCACTCTAGATACAGTGTGGAGAGTAGATTTGGACAAAGAGGACAAAATGGTCAGGAAACCAGATGGAAGTCATTTACAGGTGGCCTGAGATGGATACCCTTGGCTTGGACTACATTAGAGGCATTGGCAATAGAGTGATGAACAGAGAAAGGAGGGCCCTTGGTGAGTGCTCACACATCAGGAATTAAAGATGACCCTGGTCTCTGGCTCACACAAGTAAATTTCATCCACTAAAATAGAAAGAAGAGGTTTTTAAAAAGACATAATGGTGGGAATTTGCCCTATTGGTTAGGATGCCTGCATTCCACATTGTAGCCTCTGGTTGGATACCAGCTCAACACAGGCCTCCAGAGCCTGACTCCAACTTCCTACTTTGGAGACCCTAGGGTAGCAGTGATGGCTCAAGTAGCTGGGTTCCTGCTTAAGGCCTGGATTGAGCAGAAACTTCTCTCTCTCTCTCTCTCATACAAAGATATGATAGACAGAAGTTGAGCCTGGACGTGTTGAGTTTATTCTCTCTCTCTCTCTCTCTCATACAAAGATATGATAGACAGAAGTTGAGCCTGGACGTGTTGAGTTTATTTGTGGAACTATGTAATTGAGATAAACAGACTTGGAACTCAGAAACCTGAGCCAGAGATAAGGAGATCTGAATTACAGAAACCACCGTAGCAACAAACGAATTTTTCCAGGAAGGTGTAGCCTGAAAAACAGGCTTAGAAAGGATCCTGCCAAGGAAGCTGAAGAGTGGCCAAAGGAACATGGGGAGAACCAGGGAAAAGAAGGCTATAGGAGAAGTTTGTGGAATCCTGTCTTGAGAAGGAATCAAACACTGCCTGGGAGAAAAGTGAGCTAACAACTGAAAATGCCCACTCAATGGAGCAACAATACCGTCAGACTGATGTCATGTTAGTTATCTTAAAGACTAAAGGCAGGGAGGGAGGGAGGCAGAGAGAGAAACACACACAGAGATCTCTCATCTGCTGGTTAACTCTCCAAATACCTGCACAATTAGAGCTGAACCAGGCCAAAGCCAGGACCTGGAAACCAAATTCTGGGGTAGCAGGACACCTGCTGCTTTGCAGGGTGTGCAATAGCAGGAAGCTAAAATCAGGAATGGAGCTGGGACTCGAACCCACACACTCCAATATGCAATAGTGGCATCTCAAGTGGTATCTAAACTGTATGCCAAATTCCCATCCCCACTGGCCATTTTAGGACCCCAGTAAAGGTAGAAGCCAAACTTGAAAAGAGGAGAAAACAAGTAATCTTTCAACAGTTTGCTCTGAAAGGCAAACAAACAATTTTAGAAGGCTGGGAACATGGGAAGGGATTTATGTATTAATTTTCTCAGGGCAGAAAAGATGTGGGCATTTTAAAATGCTACTAATAGGAAGAAGACAAAGGAAAAAATGAAGATATGGGGCCAGCGCTGGGCACAGCGGGTTAACACCCTGGACTGAAGCACCCACTTCCCATATGGGTGCCAGTTCGAGACCCAGATGCTCCACTTCCGATTCGGCTCTCTGCTATGGCCTGGGAAAGCAGTAGAAGATGGCCCAAGTCCTTGGGGCCCTGCACCTGTGTGGGAGACCTGGAAGAAGCTCCT